TGGGTTTGCCTTATGAAGAGCAGAGGAGGCCCATGACATGCACTATGACAGAAAACAGAACCGGTGGAGTGAGATTGACCGTTGAGTTCGTGCCACGTGGCACACGATGGTGAGGCCGTTCAAATTTTGTTTTTTCACGTGTTGGGGCCTCAGATTTTCCCACCGGTTAGGGGGTAATTATGGGCTGTTGATTGTGGCAGTTTGAGCAAATTCAGAGAATCTCTTGGTCTGTTTCGTTATAGAAAACCAAATTGTGTCACATTTTTCATGATTATTAGTGCTTGTATTTAGTCACAGGCAGCTACAGTGTAGAGCAAGGTTGTTGTTTTTTCAATCCCACATTCCTTTTCGGTAGGATTCTCTTTTTTGTCCATCTTCTTTTGGTAGGATCAAGCTATGAATTTCGGTGATCTTCAATTACTGATGCATATGAATCTGATGCACTCGTTTAAAATGGGAAAAATACATGTACCTCTCGTTTAATCGTCATCTACTTTGATTTTTCAGCTAAGTTGACTTCTATTCTAAATACGTCATCTCATTTAATTATTATTTAATGACTAAACTACTCATAATATACATTATTCAAAAAAAAAAAAATTAAAGCAAAGTAAATTTTCTTTTATATCCGTTGATGTTCCCTCTTTTAAATTAAGTTCTTGATATTTCGGGATAAGGTCATTATTTGTCTCTTTTTTAAAATTGTTTTTTCTCTAGTCAATGGCTTATGCTAGGGTATCTGAGTTTTCTGTGAAACATTCATATATGAAAAGTATACAGGAGAACCTGTCCATTGGCCATCAGAACCAATATAAAATGCCAGTTATTAATATAAAAAAATTGTGGTTAAGTTGTAATTCTGTGAAATTTTGATGAAGTTTTTGGTTGTAGCTAGTGTTGTCAATTATGAAAGGTATTTGACAATTGAAGGATTTAATCTCTTTTATTTCTTTCTATTTTAAATTTATTAGAATACGGAATCACCTAAAAAGAAAGGAATTGATTTGGGAAGATAGTTCCAACTTTTAAGCCTTTTTTTAACAAAAAATGTGGGGCGTTAGTTCTGTTGGAAGATATTTAAACGAAGTAGCATGTAAAGTCAACGGATTCTAGCCGAGAAAATTCAAATTGAGGAACCGAATCCTTTTCTCCAAGACTAACAACCTTTGAGGCATTGACACATATAATATATATCCCTTTCAAATAGTTTGAACAAAAAATTTAGTTTGACACATATTTTACCATTTGAGACGAAATTAAAAAAAGTTATTGCACATAAAAACTTAATGGAAAGAGTTATTAATCGGAGAGAGATAATCTTAAGATTAATATATGGAGAGAGCCTTACATTTTTTCCTCTTAAAAAAATATTTCTTTCTTTCTATTAAAAGAGGTTATTGATGTCCAAAATAATGGATTCAACTTAAGTGAGCTGCCTTCGGCCTCAAGTGTCCTTGGGGACCTGCAAGGTGTAAGAGGATCAGTGAGGGAAATGATATTGGTGTGATAAATCATGTTATCTATAAGTTAGGAATATAAATTAAAAGACTGTTTATAAGTCATATACAAAAATAGACAAATAAAATTGTATGTTACCTATTATAAAAATTTTAAAATTTTTTAAAAAATGGTACAAAAAATACTATTACACGTTGTGGAAAATATGAAAAAACACATAGATACCTATGTAATAGGCAATAAGACAATATACCTACATCATATGATAATATATCTACAAGAGTATATAATATACATCTACCATAGGATGAACAAAATTTTTAAAAAAATTATTTTGTTGTATCTCCAAAATAATAAATTGTCCTAAAATTATGGGATTTATTAACCTGTGTATATCCCTATATTAAAATCATAATAAAATATCGTAATTATTGTCCTATAAATTAATTTTTGCACGATTTATCCTTAAGGGGCATAATAGAAACAACTAGATATTTTACAAATAATAATAATAATAAATCTACATGACAAAATACAAAAAAGAAATGTAATCCTATTTGGCGTAAAGTCATATATGGTGTTGTTTCTTCGACACATGGAGTTGTTCAGTTAGATAAATTCTCTCGTTAAACGCTTAAAACAAACCATCATTAAATTATAGGGAGCCACTAAGAGTCATTTCTCTCTCCTCATATTTAAGAGCTTCTAGAGGTTTCCCTATTTTAGGAGATGGTGGATATGGAGTATGGTTGAAGTTGTATTTTTCCAATTCCTCCTAAAATTTGTCTAAAGATGTGGTTTAGGAAGCTCATTATGAATGCTCTGAGCATCCACAATCAAGCTCTCTATTTCTTAGCTAAAATTTAGCTAAAAACACAAAAAAGCTGTTTTAGGAGCTCTCAAAAAAAATTCAACTCCAACCATACTCTCTAATTTGGAGAGTCGATAAATGATTTACTTCTAATTGTCATAAATAATTTACTTCTTTTTTAATTTAATTTCTGATTTTATAATAAAATTTTCATATTCAAATAATGAATATTGCCAAATAAATGTACGTTTAATTGTTATTCAATTTTGATATTCTATGGTTTTCTGCTTTGAAAGAATTGGCTGTTAAAACAAGAAATCATATGAAAAGAATTATTTTTAAAAAAAAAGTGTTTGTGTTTTGCAAAATACCTACGGGGGAAAGAATTTTTTTTTATTTTAAAAAAGGTGTTTGTGTGTTGCAAAATATCTACAGCAAAAAGAATTTTATAAAAAAAAAAAGAAAAAAAAGTGATCATGTTTTGCAAAGCACCTACAGCAAAAAAGAATTGAAAAAAAAAGAAAAGTGTTTGTGTTTTGCAACAATATAATGCAGAAAAAAATGATAAAATTAAAGACATCATTAAATAAATGCTTCAAATAATAATAAAATATAGTACCATTTAATTAATTATAAGGAGTCACTAGGAGTCCTTTCTCTCTTCTCGGATTTAGGAGCTCCCAGAGGTCTCCCTATTTTTGGAGCTGAATAGGGGGAGCATGGTTGGAGGTAGGTTTTTCAATTCCTCCGTAAATTTTAGCTAAGGATGTAGTTTAGGGAGCCAATTGTGAATATTCTTAGTAGCTATTTTCCCAAGGCATACCTACAAACGGACATTTGAGTCAAGAGGTAAGTTTTCTGCTCTCCAGTGGCTTGTAAAATATTGACCCATAAAGAAAAGTTGTACCAAGAACAGCTATTTTACTCTTAACATATCTAATATTTACAAGCACACTTTACAAAACTTATATAAATATATAATGAAGAATGAGAATTTAGTGAAAATTTTAAAATACTAACAAATACCCTTACGAGGGTAGACTAGTAAAATTAAATAAACAAACAAAAATAAGTCACGGAGATTACGTGAGAAAGTGAAATAGCAAGTGAGGAGGTGCCAATGAGCTGATGATTATTTAGAACAGAGAGTATGGTTGAAGTAGGAGCTTTAAAAGTGATTAAGCTCAATTAACTGCCTAGACAATTTAGCTAAAATTTAGCCAAAAAAGATGCTCTTACAAGTACAAGTAACTAAAACAACGACAAGGAGAGTATGATAAGAAAGAGAAATGCTTGTTGCGCATTTCACTTTCCATCTTTCCAATCATCCCCTTCTCCCTGGCCACACCCCCCACCAACCATGCATGGCATTGCCATCAGCACATCCCAGTATTACCGTCGCTGACTCTTTCATGGGTCCATCCATGACTAAACTTTTCTCAATTATTATTATTGCTATTTGAAAAAACAAGGATGGATATAATAAAGTGCGGGTAAAATAATGGGAAATAATGAAGAAACTTTTGAGTGAGGAGGTGTGTACCGTGTGTTGCGCAATTCTGCAAAAGATGATACCCATCTTTCTCTTTCTAGATTTACCGACAATCCTAGCAACCTAATTTCATTAGGAAAAAAACGAAAAGAAAGAGTACATATGAAGCTGCAATATTAATGAAACCGATCCACATTTACTTATATGGATTATTAATATATGCGTGTATTGTATTATGACTGACCGAGCCTGACACAATAGATTTTTTTTTATATGACTTCCTAAATTAGAAAGTATGATTGGAGTTCAAATTTTATATAGAATTCTTAAAATAGTTTTTTTGTGTTTTTAGCTAAATTCTTTTTTTTTTTTATAAATGATTGTAAATAGACAATTTACTTCGAAAGCGGTTGGAGCAGCTAAAAAATAAGTTTTGAATTCAAAAAGTAAAATTAATGGCTAGCATGCATGATTGGAGTAGCCACCTCTCAACCATGCATATGTGGTGTGTGGTATATTTATTTTTCTGGGGTGATTCAAATTTTGGATTTCTGATACCACGGTTAATATGAACATCCAACCAAAACGGATTGGCAATAACTAGGAAGGCCCAAAATAATTTAAATATTAAACAAAATTTTAATTCTTCTTCACACTTTCAACATCTAGTTGGTTACTTAAAAATGCTTAATTAAGTGTGAAAGTTTTTATCAAAGTTTTCTCTCAAACGCTCTTCACTTCTCTCCCTCTCAAACTCTAGCGCCTCTCCTATCCTAGGGGAGAGGGAGGGAAGGTCACTGCCTTTCCTCCCTTGTCCTTCCTTCGCCTTCTCTATATTTTCTCCTCCCATTTCTGACTCTTTTCTCTTGCCTTCCGTTTGGTTTTTTGGTTGAGCTTGTGGTCATTTCTGACTCTTGGAGGGTTTGATTGTGCTTTCCTACTATCTTATTGCCCCAGATCTCCTTAAATCTCTCTCACCTTGTGATGCCCCTTTATTTTGCGGCTTTATCTTGGTGTTGTTTGGGGTTCTTTTTGCAAATCTGTGGGGTTTGTGTGTTTTTTTTCGTAGGTTCATGTGTGGCTGAGGTTTTCCCCTCAACGTGGGCTTCGACGGTAGGTTCTTGTTTTCGTGGTGGCGACTCTACTTGTGTACCTGGGCATACCCTATTTCA